CCTCCTCTCCCTGTCCCTCCCTGTCCCTCCCTGTCCCTCCCTGTCCCTCCCTGTCCCTTCCTGCCTGCCTGCAGTCGTCCTCTCTCCTGCCATCAGGCTATAGGTTCGTGGCAAAACTACCCCTACCTACCGACTGTGTAAAACCCCTACCCCCACAAAGCCGTACTTCTTATGGTACCCCTCATTATAAGTGAAAATACCCCACCCTTTGATAAGCCAAACTTTAGTGATTTACGTCAGACCCCAGCAGATCACTCCGTTCACTACCCCTACCAGCTCCAGCGGACAATCCCACAAAACATGGTGAAATTTCACAGTATATTTGAATTATTTCGTGAATATTTCGAATGTGATGCAGAATAAATGTCGTGGGGCATCAAACTCCTGCCGAAGCAACCAAAAAAAAAAACTTAACCTTTAATCGACAAAAGGACTCCCGAAGGAGTCCTGGACCAGCATGACAGGGGTCATTGATAGGTTTCAATCACCCATCCAATGGGGCTGTATGAGGGTCTTAAAAAAGAAAAAAAAATCTTCCCGCCTTCCCGGAGTCCGACGGAAAGTTTGTGGCTGCTCGTTTCATCTTTATTCAAAACCATTCACGAGAGTCGTCAAATGTGGGTTATACTCGAGACTCAAGGCAGAGAACAGATCGATTTTAGACGTGATCGACAGATGGGTATTACATATCAGTCAGATCACATCAAGAGGCAGTATGATATTCAACTGTTTTCTGATATGGGGCAGGGATACAGGGAATTTACGATATGTAGTGGATGAAATCAAGAGAGCCAAATCGACCTTTTTCTGGAATGTTTTTACACTTGGAATGGAACAACATAGCCGTACAGATAACAAGTATCCAACTCTACAACGTTTCTGGTCAGAGAAAAGACATCTTTTCGTTGATTTATGTAGAATTCGAGGAGACTCGCAAGCTATTGTATTCGCTGCAAATCAATATGGAACGAATTTCTACCAAGACCTGAAAGCAAATTTTACAAACCGATTGGAAAAGTTCATTGCCGAATTCTGCAAAGGAGAGTTACATATTAACCATCAGCAAGAAATCGAAGACGTGAAGAATGTATTGTTTCAAAGGAAAGATTACGAGTTGAAGACAGAAGTGTTTAACAGGAATAATTCACAGCAGATAGGAACCTTCATCGACCATATGAAACAACTAATTGGATTATCGGGGTACGAAGATCTTTTTAGTTTCAAATATGACAAATTTGATCATAGGTTGCAGAAAAATCTGTTTGAGATAATCGAGACACACATGTTCATGTTGAAGTTCTTCGAAGATCGTGGTCTCTCGAAAAAAACATTCAAGGCAGCACCAATGTCGAAATTCGGCAGAAAACATCTAACAATCGATAATGATGTGATGTATTACATTTTGAAAGAAGCGAACAGTTTGAAACCGGGAGAAGATAAAAAATCGTTCATGAGAATAGATCAAACTTTGGAGAACTCTAAGAATTTCAGAAGGATTTTCGACTGTTCGAATCTGTTCAGAGATCAGAGAGAGGAGATTACAAGTATCACGACAGACGGTGTATCGGTTTGTTTTCGCTTCACGTTAATTGTCAAAACAATCGATGGACTCGAACAGGAACCTTCATTGCGCACTACCAAATGGCTTGCCGATAGAAAAAGGGCTGAACGGAAATCGGCGAAGAAGATATCAATATCATACAAAGTATTACATGAAAATTCAGAATACCAAAGAGAGATCGAAGAATGTAAAAATTGCCCAAGGGTAATTGCGATCGACCCTGGGAGGAGCGTCATTATATCGGCCGTCGAACAATTCAGAGATGATCAACAAATAATCAGAAAAAGATTTCAGTTTTCGAGAAAACAATATTATCACGAGTCACATCTGAATCGCAATAAAAAGAAAAGAAAGACGTGGGATCAAGATATTCAATCGACATTGCACTATCTCAAGGGGTTCTCGAGTAAGTCTGGCGGCAGTCTATCAAGATTCGAAGACTATCTTCTTGCAGTTACAAGTCATTGGGAGGAGTTAACTTCGCATTATTCAAAGCGAAAATACGCCAGGATGAAATTCGACATCTACATTTCGAAACGAAAGTCAGTCGACAGGTTTATCCGTACAATGAAAGGAAAGGGAGAAATAGAACCTGTTATCGCATATGGAAATGCAAGGTTCCCGTCTACAGGACGTCGAGGAGAAAGGCCTGTACCGGTCAGGTGGATAAGAAGAAGATTCGAGAATCACTACAGAGTCGTAGATGTTGACGAATACCGTACTACCAAGTGCTGTAACGATTGTGGTTCTGAGCTCGATGTGCTTCGACGGATTGAAAATACAGGGAAAGAACCAGACGAGACCTGTAGGTTGAAAACAAGGAAAAGTGAAGTACGAGGATTGAAATTTTGCAGATCATCGAGGTAATGTCAAGTTTTGTATACTCCTGTAATTCACCTTTTCATCTAACTGTTATCGTGACAGCTGTAAAGGAAAGCCGATCAAATCCAGGGACTTGAATGCTGCACTGAATATACTCACTTGTTTCAATGTGTTTCCTGAAAGACCGAATCACCTACGTCGCCCCTGAGGTGAATTCAATGATTGTTGTCGCCCCCTCCCTACCCAGACTGCGTCCCTCGGGACTCGATGCCTAATTCCCTGCCTGCCTGCCTGCCCGGTGCCTGCCTCCATTATGATCCGATGTTTACGACATGTGATCATTGAAGTGACTGACTGGCATCATTTGGTAGGATTCATGTAAGGCTCCAACAACATCCGAAGACAATTTGGCAAAAAAAAACAACTGCCGTTGTATGACGGAGAGTCGCGGCTCTCAATCATACGACGGCAGTTCTGTGCGAAAACTTAGTTCGTCGTTCAGAAGGGTATTCACATATTCCGTCACATCATGAGGGAGAGTACCCGTGGTAGATAGATTCGTGGCGTTTATCTATTAAAGTTACAAAAAACAAGTTTCACTTAACCGCCGGGGTGGTTCCTATCGTGAGTCTACCCCCCGGGCCCCGGGCTGAATCTTCAGTGTCGCTCAGTTGTTCCCCCGGGCCCGAGGTGGGGGATGAGGGGCACAAATCCGAGTGGGGATGAGGGCCCAGCGCGCACATAAGGAGACGACGGGTGGTCTGCAAATGGAGGCGGATCTATGGTAAGAAAGAGGGGTAGTATACGAGGGGGGTGGAGACAGATTTGTATCTTGGGGGTGGGGTATTTGAGCATTGGGGTAGAGGTCCAAATGGAGTACATGGAAGGGGGTGAAAGCAGAGCATTCATAGTACCCGAAATAGTCTGAAGAGGGGGTACTAGGGAGAGAGGGTCTGTTCATCAGGGGTACCAGTGTTTTTTTTGAGGGAAGGGGGTACATAGAAAAGCATGATCGAGAAGGTCTGGCATAGGGGGTGGGGTAGAAAGGAGAGGGGTGGGGGTAGGGGGTCACGAGGTTGGAGGCCGCGAGGAGAGGCCGCCATGATGAAGAAGGTGAGGGCGACAAAAATGAGAAGAAGATGAGAAGATGAGAAGATGAGAAGACGATCAGTTGATATAATGATGATGTGATGATGCTGTACGTCATGATGGCGAAGATATGTCGATTAGAGGAGGTGGAGCTAGCGCTTGATATGAAAATTGTATCGTACAATGGTGGAAGCGATAGATACCAGTCGGTTTTACCAGAAGTGAAGAGAGTGTAAAAGTAGATGATCGATTCCTGTTGTAACAAGAGTAAGAATGAGAACCAAGTGACGCAAAGGCTAAGTTGACAGCAAAGAAAGGGTACATAGACATCTATTATAGAGTTTGTGAGCATGACGTCATTGGGGGTAGTTTGTTTAAGTCAAGGAGTACAGGGACGTGTGAGAGTCGCTGGCAAAGTATTTGAAGTTAAGAGAAGTCAGTTTCATGTGATGTATCAAAGAACATTCGTTTCCATGATCCACTGGAACAGCACTATGGTTATGAAGTCAGATGTCACTTGGAAAGTCTCTGTGCCTAATGGGATGGAGAGAGGGGAGGAGATGAGAATTTAGATCGATGAAATGTTGTTGGAATGAGTGAGTACTTTATGAAGCTATCGATAGGTTATGTTCTCAGATGCATCTGATGGATGGTGGTGTTGATGCTTGAAGATGGGATTTGTTTTTGTGGACCATGGAGTGATACTCCATGATGGCGATGAGAGGTCGATATGAGAGTCCTTTGATCTGTCAATGGTGTACGCAGCTTAGTAGCAATGTCGACAGTAGAAGCAGCCGGTAGGAGCAGCCGGTAGGAGCAGCCGGTACCAGTGAAGCAGTAGTGACAAGCAAGGAAGTCAAAGGATGTAACACGATAAGATGAGAAAGTGGAAGTGGGTTTGGAATTGTGCCTGGTTAACATAGACGAGGAAAGGAGAGGACAGTTGCTTGCTGTTTTTCGTCTCATCTTCTTCTTGGCTCCTCCTGACTCCTGCCACCAGTTGTGTCTCTTTGCTGCCGCTGTCGCATCCGCCGCAGCCTTCGCTCCTGGACTTCCGTCCGCCCAGCGCGTTCCTAGCAAGGCTGCGCTGGTACTGGAGGGAGAAGGGAAAGAAAGGGAGGAGGGAAGCGATGGGGGAGGGGAAGGAGGAAGGGAGGAGGAGGAATGAGGATGATTGAAGTGCGCAGACCAACCTTCACATGGGCAAGAACATCTACGAGAAGAAGGATATCGTCAAGCAGGTTTCCGAGGACCTCGCCAGCTCTCAGTTCATCTTCTCCACGGAAATGAAGCAGATCACTGTCCCCCAGGTGAGGAGCGAGAGATGGACGGAAGGGCGGTAGGGAGGGGGGGTGGGGTCGTCGCTCCTCGGTCGTCTCCTCATGGCCCCTCAGATCCGTGAGCTTCGCTGGAGTCTCCCGGAGGACTCTAAGGCCTCCTGCATCAAGAACCGCCTCCTCAAGGTAGGAGGAGGAGGAGGAGGAGGAGGAGGAGGAGGAGGCTCACTGCAAGACAGAGAGCGGCGGCGGGAACCGAGGTGGGAGGTTGGTGAAGGATGCGGCTAAGGGATCGGACAACCTCTGGGTGTTCGTTGGAAGTGACATCAAGGTACTTTCATAGTCTCTCCTCTTACCTTCTCCTCGTTTGTTTCCCTCTTTTCCCGACCAACCTCCCCATGAGTACCCGATGGTACGACCTCTCTTCGACCGACTCTTTGCCGTTGGTACTCGCCCTCGAACTGGCACCCATCAGGTCCTGAAGACCTCCTGGATCCTGGAAACAATG